GAAATTTCGCAGGTAAATTTCACCTTGCGGGGAAATATCAGGTTTCACAGCAGTCATCAGGGAGCAGTAAAGGACGTGGAAAAATTCAGCCTGTGGTGTGTGTTTACATCTACTCTGAACATCATTCTCTTAAGAGTAAAGAAAAGAGCTGTGTGGATAAACAAAACAGCTCCTCAAGCACATCCCACATTCTCTTCCCAAAAAGAGATGCTGTTTCCCTTTGTCTGTTGGAAGAGACAATTCAGTTTAATCCTTTTGAAAGGCAACATTTCTAGCAGATAGATAGTTCATTGCACTAAAAAAAGTTACCACTCTTTGAAACAGATTCAAGAAATTCGAGGGCTACAGGTAAAACTAGTAAAGCTACTCCAGAAGCAAGTTTCTAAAATAGCAGAAAGGCTGGTATTAGGCATGGGCTAAAGAAAGCTTGGTCTGCTGCTTCAGAAGATTTGTGTTTAACTTCACCAGAGAGACAGGCATTTGGTACTGTCATGGCTGCAGTGACCAGGTGAAGTTTTTTTTCAAGTGCAAACCCCCAAGTCAAAAAAATGCAAGCAAGGTTGAGAATCTCATTTCTAACTTGTAGGAATCTAATGCCACTGAGGGGTTTTACTTGTTGTTGCTGTTTCTGCTTCTGTCTTCACCAAGTAACTGCAACCTCAGCTTTCTGAAAACCAAGTGATGCTCCTCTGTCCAGCACTCGGCTTTCAGCTTGCCCATGCAGACTCACTGTGCACTCCTATTAGCAGAGTCAGTCAGGTAATAATAGCAAATAAAAAGCCTATTCGACAAAGCACTGGCTCCTTCTCAAGTAAAGTAGAGTACCACTACAGCATGAATGACTCAATCATCTACTCAAGAGCTATTACTTGCAGCGATGAAGCAATGTTAATTGGATAACGGCCTGCTGCCAGCTAATATTGGCATGACCTACAATACCCCTGGCTGACAGCCGTGTCTCTCTCTCTATCACACCTTTTTTTGTAATCTGGATGGGAAATGGAAACCATTAAAAAAGCCTCGTAAGTGCCATTTAACTTCTTATCATAAATTAAAAACTTAATTAAGTGCCTTGTTAGAGGAAGGAAGACCAGTTTTCGTGATTAAATAAAACAAAACAACAGTTAAGGGTATGGAGTGAATAACCTACTTTACAGCTTTAAACTCAGTTTTTTGAAAGTTTGAATTTTGGGTTGTGTTTAAGAGCACTTGCTAGAGGAAAACTGCATAAACACTAAAAAATACCCTGAGTGAAAAGCAGGTTCTAGTTGTTTAGCAAAATTGCAGATGAAAAGCATAGAAGTCAAGAGCTAACGGGGTCCTTTTTTATTAGCTGTAGGCAGCTGACACTCCATTCCTGTAACTTGCAATGAGGGCTGATAGTTCACACACGACAGCCACATTTGTGCCTTTATTATGCAGCTGTTTTTCCAAGCGCTTGTCTACACACTGAAATGCATTATTTTACAAAAGGTGTGGTACAAAATCAAATCACCATGGCTAGCACTAAAGAGTTTATGGAAACTCTCCAGTCAGTGCAGAATTAGCTCCATACTGACTTAGTTTAAGTTGATTAGGTAAAGGTTTAAACGGAGGCACATTAAGTCACACTTGAACTGACCTGAAATGTCTAACACAAAGTTTTGCAGAGGGTTTAAAATCCTCTAAATTCAACTAGTCCCAATTCTGTGTGTGCACAATGTCTCCTTACTGAAATGACTGGTGTATCATAAAGACTGCTCTCACTTGTAATTGGATATAAACAAGAAATAATGTAAAAAACATCTGTTCGCTGTTTAGCTAGACAACAGTTAACAATCTTGGGATGCCAGATTAACAAAAAGACCCCAACATGCTATGAAGGAAAAAAAAAGTCTGCAGTTTAGACTTCAGAGGCAGATTTACTGCTTTGAATAATCAGAAATAAGTTCTTTTGTTTTGATGTTAAGCTCCCTCTCACCAACAAAACATGAATTTAAAAGCTACACATATAAAGCTTTATCCAGCTCCAACATCAAATCTTTGAGAAATAAGAATAATGATGGCCTTTCTCCACAACATACTTCAGCAGTTTTCAAACCATGCCAGAATTTAAAATGCAATGCCTGTATGGTTGACTTAAAAGTAGCTTAGTGAATTTATGAATGATTGTCACCTTTGGAAAAGTTTTGAACAATGAAGACTATATTTAAGAATTATTTTCAATCTCCACTTTTCTATAATATTATATGCCAACATAAAATGTCTCTCAGCATGAAAAAAGGATTTGCTCAGGACACTCACTTTCAACTTCTGTTTGAAATCTTTTGATTGGAATAATAACCCCCTACATGACAGAGTAAATCACTTTCTGCATATACCTCTAGAAATAACTCACGGGCTGCCAGAGCTCTGCAGACCACGGACTGAAAACAGTAGCCTTGGGAAGAGTCGTTAGCTAACCGAAAAAAAACCCTGCTAACTTCTTTAAATGCCATATAACTAAGAGAGTGTTTCCTCTGCTTTATCAGCTCTTAAAAACCAGGAGTGTTTCAGTTCCTCTCATGGGGAACTCTGACACTGTTGGAGGCACTTCCCTCACCTATGCACAGGCACCTACCGAAGCGCAGCACTCTGAAGGTGAGCAACACCAGAAACAGAGACATGCACCTTAACCAAGGAATAACTCAAAAATAACAAAATGCATCAGGCAGCTCTCCTTATCCCAAATGACTAGCATTTGTGAGGAAATTATTTAACTGACCACCTCACACACAGTTATTCAAATGAAGTAGCCACCAAGCAAATTAAGATTCAATGCATTTAACAGCAATTAATTTGCATATTCTTTTCCAGGATGTGAAAGTTAAAAGCACATGGCAAAGTAACAGTGGTGGTCTTAGTCGAGGCATGACAATTTCAAGATTCTGGGAAAAACTTTAAGAACCAGATTCACTCCTTCTGTAACTCCACAAACTTTACTGGAGCTGTAACAGCAGCCAGTATAACCCTAAGTCACTAAAACTTTTTGATCTTTCATTGAGATACATTCCAAAATGTAAAACCACAATACTCATTCACTTAAATAGAAATAATTTAAGGCTGGACTGGAGGATTTTTTTCTTACATAGTATCTTATATAAAACACATAAACAAACCACTGTATTTTAAATCCTTACTGTTATATGAACACAGGACTGGGTCACCAAGTGCAGACACATCATGACCCCTCCACCACCCTTCTCCTCCCACTGGCCTGAAGCTCAGCACCTCACCACTGCTGGGATTAAAAATCTTCTAATTTCCAAAGTATTTTTACTAAAAGCCAGTTGAAATCAATTAATGTTTGTGTCAACAGTGTCCTTTAGTATTAAAGAAAAACTCCTCCTCTCAGCTGTTTCAGCTGGTCTGCCTACACAGTAGCAGGTCTTAGTTGTCACACCAGCAGTATGAACCTGCAATAGTCCTTTCTACTCCTCCTTCAGGCCAGGCTCATTCATCTGAATATCTCAGTCACTCTTGTACATGCTTAATTGAATTTGAACTATTTTTCTTTATCTAACAGGACCTTCACAAAGGAGTCTTCACAAAGGCTTAGTAGAAGAGCACTGATAGTCTCCTGCCCCTTCATACCTGTGCACCCTTGGGCATGTTTTGTCACCTCTCTACTCCTACCCTTGCTTCGTGGTGAGAAAGCTACGAGATACTGACTGAGACTCAATTCTTCCATTGGAAATTATTAGTGGACACTGTAGAATCATAGTGTGCATCCTATCATGTCCTTTGTGATATCTCTAAACTCCTATGCAAAATGTCTGGGTTGAAATGTCTTCATGAGTAATATTCAGTGTCAAGACTCATGAAGTCACAGCCGGTGACCTACTTCTAATCCTCTCCAACTTATGCCATGACAACATCACGATGCTGCTGAAGTCTCTGGAGAACTAAACCAGAGGGGAAAACCGATGTGTGACACTTTGGGACCTGTCATCATTTAAAAACACACCATGCCTCTTCATGGGCATTAAGCAACTGATGGTGAAAAACCCTCTGTATGCCAGAGCACTTACCCACTGAGTGACTGCTGTGCTGTGCCCTGGGTACATCATCACCCTTCTCATGCCACCCCTCCCAGCTGGAGACACCGGGCAGGCACTGCTGAGGCAGTGGGTGATGGCAGCTCTGGCCAGCAGGCACACACCTCCCCTCTGTAGGCAGCAAAGCCACCGGCATGTCCTACGGTAGCTGTGCTGTCATGCCTGTATGGCTGTGAGGAAATTACAGTGGGGGTGGAAGCCAGTCAGTGAGATTTTGTGGTAAAATAAAGTAAACTTTCCAGTGAGGTATGTATTTTCTATGTCCCTTGGCTTCCTGCTGTGGGAGCCATGCTGCATGAGAAAAACCCTGCTTTCTGACAGACTGTGTTCATGGTTTCTTGGTGGAAAACACAAGGCCTGAAGCAGTTAAATCCCAAATTCTTTATGAGGGGAGGTGACAGGAAGCAAGGTTGGATGAGGTGCAGGAGAAGGGAAATAGGAGGACAAAGATATGAGCTGCTGGAGAGGAGTGGACAGCAATGAGACTCCCAACAACGTGACAGTTCAAATGATTTTTCAACAATAACCTGTGGTGTAGTAGCTACATTACTCCTATCAAATTTCCTGTCTGGAAGAGCAGAAGAATAGCAGGGTCCTAATAATACCCTGAATGAGGCTGCGGTAATTATGCATTTGGGTACAACTCCCTTGGTGACAGTGACAAAGGTGAGCTGAAGCATCTTAAAGCTCTGCCACCACAATCTTTAGGAGTTACCGCTAGTGAGGAAGGCTGGCATAGTGTGAACACATCCATCCTTCAGCAATCTGCAACCCACCCAAACACAAAAAGCACATCCTGCGGGGCAGGCACTGACCCCTGTGCCACACTCCCTTCAGCCACCTTAGCAGACCTCAGAGTTCTTCCACACCACATGGGAAAAAGGGGGCTGATTTTTATGGTGGGGGCACGGTGACATACTGTACCTCTTCCGGCAGGCTGACCACCAGGTCATTTTCCGTCTGCCCTACCAAGGCCTGCAAGAAGTACTCGCTGCAGGCAGCCAGCACAGCCCGGTGGGCGCGGAACTCCTTCCCCTCCACGATCAGCGTCACGTCACAGAGAATGTCCTGCTTCCGCTGGTCATTTAAGCAGAGGAGAATATTGGTACAGTGCACCGTTGACTCATACACATACATGGGGGAGTCAGTCTTCTCATCCACAGACATGCCGTTCACACCCTGCAGGAGACAAGGGAGAAGAAAACACAAACAAGGTGGTGAGGAGCAACACAGTCGGAGGGTGAATGTGGTATGGTGAGATGCTGCCTGATATCTGGATAGCTCAGGACCAATGGCCAAGCAGCCCATTAATATTTAAATCCGAGAAAGTTGCTAGGGAAAGATATTGGGAAGGGTATTTGATACCACCAGATTTCACCTTGCCATGCTTCCATTACCTACTCACCCTCCCAAACTTCCCCTCTCAAAACCAAAATAGATAGTTTAGACAGACTGCAAAGTACTTTCCCATTCAACCACCTGCTATGCATCTCCAATTTCCAATTTAGTAGAGGCAATAACATGGGCACATTGGAAATTTTAGAAGATTTTAGAAAAAAAAGCAAGAGTGTCTTTTGGGTCTTCTAATAGTGAAAAAAAAGGCTTTGTTCTTGCTTCCAGTATTTCCAGACTAAAGGGGAAAAACCCTCAAAACCCCCTCAAAACCCCAGTCTATTCTCCAGTGGACAGGCAGCACTACACATTTACACTGAAGACCTTGGTTCAAGTGAAAGGCAAGGTGGAACTGCACCCAATGAAGACAAGCTGTTAACTACAGTGACTTAATTTCTCAATCAGAATTTTAAGCCTTAAGGGGAAGAGAAAGATGTTTAGTGGCTCCAGAAGAAATCTATTTCCATGCATGGCTAAAGCAATGTACCTTCACCAGTGATTTAATGCCATTTACAGAAACGTAAATGTTTCTGAACTCCAGACCCACAGACCCAAGAAAATCCCTTGACCTGTACGGAGCTCTGCCCCAGACAGTACATGGGTGCTGGGGCTGCTCCTGCCTGCAGGTAAGTCTCTCCCTTCTGACAGCTGAGCAGAGGTTGGAAGGATGGATGTAAGACACCCATTACACACCCATTACAACTATCTGGATTAGGAAGTTCTCAGCCTGATGTTCTGCAATTTCTGACACACGTAGAAGTGGCAATGCCTCTGAACACGGGGACTGGATTAGCGGTGGTGAGGTAGAAGGGATCAAGCTTTCCCAAACACCCAACACTGCATGAACTGCCTTTGAAAACGAACATGTTGAAGCGATTCTTTTATCCAACACTTCTTGCCCAGCGCCACACTGAATTCTCTTTGCATTATCTTCCCATTTCAACTTCTCTGAATAGGAAAGTGTAAAACCCTGTGCTGTGTCTAAACACACTATATAGCCCAAAACAAAGCAAACACACTTGCTTTAGGACTTACATGGTTTTGAAAAAGGATTATTCGTATGCCTTACTCTATCTGTTGTTGAAGGGGAAGTTGTGCAAATGCACAAAACTCAAATATTTTTAAGGAATTATTTTTCCTTATTGAGAACAACTGCCTTCTGAGAGGTAAGATTCAGAGGCATTAAGGCTAAGGGCAACAGATGACTATTTTTTTGTAAGTATCTGACTACTGTAGCAAGCTGAAACAAAGTTCCTCCTCTCCTACTTTTAATGTGGATCTTTGCAGCATTTTCCTTTGCTAATGCAGTATACAGGTACATGACTAGACACAAAATGACTTCAGACTATTTCTCTTGCCATGAGTTCAGACTAGGGTAACATTTTCCTACAGTGTTATTCGAAAGATGTGAGTAATCTAGACAAGAATGGACTTCAGAGGACCCATTTGTTACTTGTATTTACTAGACTTCTCAATGATAACTCCATCTTCCTACCTTTATAGGAGTATTTTTAAACCAGTGGCTATGATGACTCTTTCTACAAAATTTTTGCCAACAGTACAAAACTGCGATATTACTGGAAGTCTTAAAGGAATGCTTACAGCTTCTCTTTTACTGGTATTTTCAATCTTCATGCTGACTCATGCTACACTTTTGAGTACTCAGCTGAAATGCTTACATGAACAGAAAAAAACCACAACCAAGCAACATAGACTAGCTCTTCACCTCCTTAACATCTAGAGAGAAAATACATAGCTGCTTATTGATCTGTATACAGGCAGGGGAGGGAGACACTCGAGGGGGGTTATACCAGTTGGATTTCTTAACAAGAAAAAGATTTTTTTTTTTTCTCCTCATCAATTGAGACCAATGAGAAGAATTAACAATCATGTTATTAGCACTCCAGTAAGGTAAAAGACAAAATGACACTTAGCTCATCTCACCCACAGCTTTCTGTATAACTGAACTGATGCTAATGATAGTGTTATAATTATGTTCTAAGTGGTCACTCTTGCGTGCTATGAAATGCAAGAATTTACAAGAACAATCTAGTGGGAAAGCCTGAGAGCTCCAAATGACAATGCAAAGGGGAAAGCAGTAAGCTTTTTTTCCCTTTTATTTTCCAGGCATTTCTTATGCCTGTAATATCTCAGACGATGAAAAGAAAGGACAAGAAATCTGAAACCTGGCAAATAATGAACAGAATATCAATTATATTCTCAATCCCTTAAAAAAACCCCCACGAAAACCCACTGTTAGCCTGAAATTGCAATCTTTTCTTACAGTAATAGTGTAATTTGTGTGAATCAAACCCCGAATTACTTGGTTACTAATTAGTAATTTCCCACTTTTTAACTACAGCTCTCATCAAGTGTATTTTTTAAAAAAATCTGCTGCATGCACTGCAAAGTGCTGAAAATACTATGGTGTGTTTCCCCTCTGGTGAGCAAGCCTGCCTTCTGTGTTAAAACTCTGACCAATGCGGTCCTGAGATGCTGGAGCAGTGACCTGCACCATCCGCTCCAGCAGATCTCTAGCCACCCTCCTGGGAAGGACCTCCACCCAGTTGCTCCTATCACTGCTCTTTCCCAAGGCTACTGTTGTGACTCTGGAAGCTTCCCGAGGGTGGATCCACACCGTGCCCCTTCCCACAGCCACTGAGAGTCCATGTGGATGCCCTGGCTGGCAGCTGCAATCTCAGCCTGACACAGACTTCCCCCTGGCCGTGCCCCTGACTGCTCCAGGAAGCACCCTGAGCCCTGCATTGCGCACAGGGAAACTGGGGCTGGGCTACAGCTCAGGACCACCTATTTATCAGCTTTTAATGTTTCAACACAAGCGATTTACCGTCTTTCCTTTTCCACGATCTGCCATCGACTAAATGACCTCCAGACATGAGGTGTTTCCTCTCCAAGAGGGCTTTATCCTGCAGGAAAGGTGTAAGATGATGAAACCCTTCACTGGGAAGTATATTGTTCGTTTTCACAGGAAAACAGTTTAGAGGGCAAAGAGGAAAGGTCACTGTAGGACTTTGGCACGAAGTAGCACAAAATTAACAGAATTCAACTTTTTTCCCCCCCTCTCCTCAGAATTAAAAAAGCAGGGATCTGGTATTATCTCTGAACTCTGAAGCAAGTTGGCTGCAAGCCTTTTACACAGTGTTAATTAAACTGCATCATTTTTTGCTGAATTCAGTATTATGCTGAGTTTGCAGAACCTTCTTCATGGAAATCATTGCTACACACTTGGTATTTCTTCGAACAGAAGAGAGAATGCCTTAGCAAGCCTTTCTCTGGCTCAAAAGAACACGCTGTGCATTTGTTTGCATATAGGTCACCATGCTGCCAGAAAAAGCGTCTTTGAAACAAAAGTTTCCAGAAACTGGCACAAACTATTGTGGGCAAGGAAAGCACCATTGAGACCTAGCCAAAACAGGTTGCTGGTAAAGGCCAGCAACTGCAGTGAAGGGAACTGGAACGCTGCTTACACTTTCCTTCCATGGTGATGGGTGGAAGATCCCACTGAGCCCTTTGGCATGGGCAGCATGGAGGAGGCATACGAAACCTCAGGAGACGAAAAATGTTGCTCACGGAACATCTGAAACACTCTGGTTTGCAGCACGCTGTCTGTACTGTCTGGCACTCATCCAAAACTCTCCAGGAACTCATAAATGCACTGACTGAGCTGCTACCAAAAATACATTACCTATCACAAAAAAACCAGCTCCTGCCTCCCGAGACTGGAGCACAGGCAATATGGTGTCTGTTTTTAAAGGGAAATATGAGGGGAGAGAAAATCTTATCAAGACAGACCAGAAAGTCCTGCATCAGAACTGGGCGAATTACGTTAAAAGGTAAATCTTGATCGCAGCACAATTACAGAGCACTTAACCAGGGAAATTATCACTGTGACAAAGCAGCATGGCTTCTGCAAGGGAAAGTCATGTTTCTGATGGGCTCTATTAGAATTCCTGAAGTGTGTCAAATTAGTAGTGAGGAACACTGGTACACGTAATTAGTGCTGACTTTCAGAAATCCTTTGACAAAACCTTTACAAACGCCTGTTAGAGAAACTCAGTTGTCATAAGATGAGAAGTTGCATCAGTTTGGAAACCACTTAGGATAAACTGTATTCAACAGAGGAGGGACACGGGCTATTTGGGTTATTTTCAACAGGTTAACAGTGAAATTTCTCCAGAAACTGGCCCACATCTGCCTATGGTCATGCTGTGCAACATGCCTGAGCTCCTCTGATCCACAGGAGGGTTGGCCACACTTAGTACCAGGTCCTTTCCAGGACATGTGTCTGGATGTCCTAACAGAAGCCTGCCACTCCTACAGCAAAGCCATCGAGAAGATGGAGCCAGACACTGGGAGCAATTTGAAACAACAGAGGTTTAGACTGGACATAAGTAAAAACTGAGGAACAGGTTGTCTGGAGAGGTTGTCATCTCCATCCTTAGAGATTTGCAAGATCACACTGAATATAGTGCTGAGCAATCTGCTCTGATCTCAGAGCTGACCTGCTTTGAGCAGGAAGTTGAGCTAGGTATCTCCTCAAGTCCTTTCCAAAAGAAACTATCTGATGATCCTACACTGATTAGTGACCTAGAAGTTCAAAGACCATGTCAGAGAGACTGAAATTGATAAAATTATTTCAAATGTCAAAGGTAATAGGGATCGTTGGGAATTTTAAAAAGACAATATAAAAAAGAATTAGGCACTAACAAGGTGACACACTAAATCCGGAGCACTCTGTTCCACAAAGGTGGCAATCAGAAAAAAAA